GGAAAAATTCCAGCTGTTTCTCAATCCTTCACAAGTGCCCCTTCTCTTCCTTAAACTCTTGTGCATGTTTGAGGAGTCCAGGGAAAAGATTAATGATAAGGGATAGTCAGTCAAGCCAGTATTTGTGGATCACCTCAGCTCATTTATTCTGTGCCAGACAATCCTTGGGTATTATTACAGCCACGTGAACTTTATAGTGACATAATGCTCTTCTCAATAGGATGTGGGTAGGAAAGGTGGAATTCAGTGCTGGCTGTTCTCAGGATTTACTTTTAACACAGCCAAGATTATTCTGCGAGAGGTGAAATGGTTCCATCCTTCTGAATAAACCTTTTAAAGTCTTTTGTATAACATATACATATACATATTTAGAGCTTTTCTTGGTCTTCCATGTGTGTGTGAAGGTTTGGGGGGCTTTATTCTTCACATTTTAGATCTGAACATCAATGTTCTAATTGAAGTACAGGCATCAATTTGTTCTGAAGACAAAGGCTTAGTTAAAATTTTTTATAGAAGAATAGGCACTTTCTACATTGCCATATAATCCAGATTATCACAACATATAATCCATATTATCTGCTTTGAACTGGATTATATGAGTCTACACTGCTGTATAATTCTGTTCAAAGTAGATAATCTGGATTTTATATGGCAGTATAGAAGAACCTTACACTTCTTTTTTTTAAAAAAAAAATCCTGATTATATTTTCCACTGTTGCTTTTCTTAATGAAATCTCAGAAGACTTTATCAGATTGTTTACCTCACTGGGTTTATAAATGGCAATGTTCCTGCAAACAAGCTAAGCTTTCTGACACAGTATATATTTAACAGCTATACCCATCCAAATTTTCACTGAAAACTCATAGTGGTTTTGAGGAGGAAATCATCTAAAGGAAGGGAAAATTAATGATGAAAAATGAAATAACACTGAAATAAATTTAACATTTGGAAAACTGAAAAATGTTAAGATGATTTAAGAAACCTTGATAACATTGCTGAGAGCCAACGTAGTGCAGTGGTTTGACCACTGGACTACAACTGTAGAGACCAGGGTTCAAATGCTTACCCAGCCATGTGAACCCATTGGATGACCTTACACAGGTCATATTCTCTCAATCTCAGAGAAAGGAAAACACAAACCCTCATTTGGCAAGAAACCCTGAAACAGCTCATCTTTAGAGTTGTGATAATTCAGAAATGACTTGGAAGTATATAAGAGTGAGATAGGATTGTTACCGAAGCTCAGTATTTAAGTGTCCAAGTCTCAGAAATTTAGAAATACATTATTGGAGGGGATATTAATAGTGATTAGTCGGATCATACTTGGGAGCTATTTGTCTTATTCCCAGCAAACATGTGCAGTACAGCACGTGAACTACAGAAATATTAAACACATCTATTCAGAAATCAGTCTCAGGCTGCATGTTTCAGGGAAAATAAAACAAAAGGTGCAGGTGTCTCTCAGTGAGGGTGAAAGTACTATAGCCATATAGGTATCAGGACTAAAATGAGAATTGAAAAACGCATTGTAATGACAAATTAAGCAAGAAACATATCTTCCTTAAGGCCTAAGCCAACTAAGGGGGAAAGTGATGGCAGATCTGTCAAAACTCAATAAGGCTTTTTATAATGACAGTGATAAACCAGAGAGCCCACTTGTAAGTTAATGACTGTGCACTTGTTGGTTTTGTTTTTGTAACTGAAATTTGATAAATATTTTATATGCACACGATACTGTACTATGTTTTCATAAAGTAAAGTTAGCAATGGCCTTTTAGTGGTTTTATTCCTAAAGCATTGTTTCTAAGCTTTGAATCTGCTCTGACATGGAAGTCAGCACCAATAATTACTATCAATTTCTGGAATTGCATAGTAATTATCTAACTACAAACCTGCACAATACCATGTCCTATGTAACCATTGTCAACATTTTTGTTGTTCTACTTTTTCCATGGTTATCTCTGTTTAATTAAAAAAAAAGGTTTGTTTTCATGAACTACTTTTGAACTTCAAAAACCAGTTACACTCAAATCTCAGTTTTTCTCCATAGACAGAGGGAGGGGGGTGTCACTGTCACAGGAAAACCATTATTAATTCCTCTGACTGCAGATCTACATCAGTATCAAAAGATATCAGGAAGCCTCTGGAGAGCTTTGCATTCACATCAATGGGATTGCTCTTGTAATCAAAACATAAATGCCTCCATAGGCCCTTGGAAATCCACAAGGCAATATGTGAATGCCAGCATGTTACACCAACTACTTAACAAACTTCAAAGTATTCTTCAGAAACACCTTATTTATTTGATTCTAAGATGCCATCAATTGTAAAATGCACATTAAATTCAGTACCACAAACATAAAAAAAACACGTGATTCTAGGATTTACCCTGTTTTAGAGACGTTTATATGGGAGAAACCCATCTTAGAACTGAAGAAATATAGTAACCATTGTTCATACCATTGGCTATGATGCTTGATTACAATAGCCTGTGCATGATTACTTTATCAGATAATTGTTGTCTAGTATGTCTTCATTTTAGGAAGGCTATTTTGGTAGAACACCCATAGCAGCTTGGATCTCAATGTCCTGACAGTAATATTCCAGCAACATATCGTTATTTTAATTGTCACTCCCAGTCTACACACCCTCAACTGAAACTCAGTCAACAGCCTACGTGGAAGAAGAAAAACAGCTGGAACACCAAATATGTGGCAAACACCTTTCTGACCACTAATTCACCACCCCAGTCAAGCAACCTATAAAGCAGCCTATAGCTAGTCAATCTTGACAGAAAACTCCCTTCAGTTTTGAAATATCTTTACCTGAAGTATATCAGCAAATTAAAGCATCACGTGAATATCTCTTAATACTGTCTCTTGTTTGGGGAATCCACCTGCTACTTTAACTGAACTTTCTTTGAGCCAGCTCAAACAAAAATCAAGAATCTTTGAAGGGTTCCTATTCATTCTAAGAGCAAAGCTCTTGAATTCTCTAGTTAACCCTCCTCAACTTGCAATGAGTCCTTAATAGCCTCTTCCCCACTCAAAGAAATTTCTTCAGAAAGGTCCTCAATGGAACTCAATACACACAGTCATTCTGCTGCACTGTACCTAAGGTTTTCCAAGTGTCCTCTTGGCACAGTATCCATTTTTATAAGTTACCCCTAGTACAATCTTTCAGGCTCTCAGGCTAAAACAAAGCACCTGAGTTTCCATGACCAGAGTTTTCCTTTTTGTTTCTACCAATCTGCTGCTTCTGTTCAAAGCTCCAGTGGCTACATTCAGAGACCAACCATTTCAATGCTGCTGCACAATTATATAGAGCGTTCAAAGAGTTAATTGGCCCTTCTAAGCAACCCCATACTGAATATATAACTATTGTATTAAGACTTCAGACATTCTGCATATCTGGGCTGTATGGTCATGTTCCAGAAGCATTCTCTCCTGATGTTTCACCCACATCTATGGCAGGCATTCTCAGAGGTTGTGAGGTCTGTTGGAAATTAGGCAAGTGAGGTTCATAATGCTATGGAATGTCCAGGGTGGAAGAAAGAACTTGTCTGCTTGAGGCAAGTGTGAATATTGCAACTGGCCACCCTGGTTAGCATTTAATGGCCTTGCAACTTCAAAGTCTGGCTGGTTGCTGCCTGGGGGATCATTTGTTGGGAGGTGTTAGCTGGCCCTAATTGATTCTTGTCTGGAATTCCTGTTTTCTGAGTGTTGGTCTTTATTTACTGTCCTGATTTTAGAGTTTTTTTTAATACTGGTAGCCAGGTTTTGTTCATTTTCATGGCTTCCTCCTTCCTGTTGAAACTGCCCACATTCTTGTGGATTTCAATGGCTTTCTGAGGATGCCTGTCATAGATATGGGTGAAATATCAGGAGAGAATGCTTCTGGAACATGGCCATGCAGCCTGGAAAACTCATAGCAACCCAGTGATTTCAGCCATGAAAGCCTTTGACAATACATTCTGCATATCACTTGGCTCTCAGGAAGCCTACATCTCTCACAACAGCAAATAAGATGACAGTGAAAGATATTACTTTATTGTAAATGGTTGAACTTTCTTGTGCCAAGTTAAAAGCTGAGAGCATCATTACTGTTTTCTTTACCTTTCTCCATGTTTGTTATTTTCCTTAGACCAGTCAGAAATCAAGGGGAGGTAGCTCTTTATCAATATTTTTGTAACAAAACAAAAAAATCATAATAGTAATAATAACAACAGCAGAAAGTGAACAATGACTTCCAGTCTGAAGCTAAAGGGTACTGAAGAGTAGTGCACAAATCATGTTTTCCTTTCTGTAAAAATTCACGGAAGAATAAAATGCATGTGCTTTAATCTTAATCTTTGTTAGTGAGGTATCTGAACCATCAGTCATGTGTGAAAGTCTCTGCAAAAGATACCAGTTCAGATCTGGTCAAAGATATAGTGTTGTAGTACAGCGNAGGAGGGAAAGAAGGGGAGATAGGGGGAAGGTTGGCCACAGCAACGCGTGGCGGGTACAGCTAGTATATATACACACACACACACACACACACACATATATATACACACACTCCACTTGCCTTATGTCCAACAGACCTCTAAACAAGCCTCTGAGGATGCCAGCCACAGATGCAGGTGGAACATCAGGAGAGAATGCTACTGGAACATGGCCAGACAGCCCGGAAAGTTCACAGTAACCCAAAATCTTCTCCAAGGTGAACAGCAACAATCCTGGTGCCAAACTAGGTCCCCTTCTACACTGCCATATAATCCAGATTATCAAAGCAGATAATGTGCGTTATCTGCTTTGAACTGGATTATATGAGTCTATACTGCGATCTAATCCAATTCAGTAATCTGGATATGAAATGGCAGTGTAGAGGGGACCTAGGATTGGATGGCCTTTGGAGGCCTTTCCCAAGTGTAGGATCTTGTGAGGAAACTCCCCCCCCCCCCCCCCCGCCAAACTCATCCTGTGTTGTCCTTGCTGTCCTCCTGGCCTTCAGAGGGATGCCGGTGGCCTGGCTGGAGAAGACCATGTGGAACCTGGGCCTGGAGGTGTACAAGCAGACCTTCTCCCGGACGCTGCCCTTCCCGGACGAGCTGCGAGAGAGATACGTACGTGGACCGCTTTGGCAGGGGAGGGGGGCACGAGCCGTGGGAGACGGTTCCCCCTCCGACACCCTTTCTCTCTCTCTTCTTCTTCTTCTTCTTTGCAGATGGTGAAGGGGACCAACGTGTACGGGATCCTGAGGGCCCCCCGAGGGGCCAGTACGGAGTCCCTGGTGCTGAGCGTCCCCTGCAGCCCCGGGCAACAGAACAACCAGGCCGTGGGGCTCATGCTGGCCTTGGCCTCCTACTTCCGAGGTGCTTTTGCTCATCTTGGGGCCTTTGGGTCAAAATGATGAGTTGAAGGCCTATCGTCTCCGAAATAAAAAGCTTGTTTCTTATAGGTTTTTTCGGGCTATAGGGCTATGTTCTAGAGGCATTTCTCCTGACGTTTCACCTGCATCTATGGCAAGCATCCTCAGAGGTAGTGAGGTCTGTTTGGTAACTGGGAAAGGGGTTTATATATCTGTGGAATGGCTGGGGTGGGGCAAAGAGCTCTTCCCTGCTGGAGCTATTTATTTATTTATTTATTTATTTACTTCATTTGTTGACCGCCGCTCTCAGCCCTAGGGCGACTCGCGGCGGTGTACAACATATAAAAACAGTCTACAAAACACACAATATATCAACAACACCATATTACACCTTACTATAAATCACCCTAACAAATCCGCACCGTCACAGCATAGAATCATAGCCAGTCTCATAATCCGTAATCCGTTCCAGTTGTCATTACCAGGTTCGTGTAGTTCTCAATTAAATGCCTTCTCGAATAGCCAGGTCTTTAGGCTCTTACGGAAAGCCATAAGAGAGGGCGCCTGTCTGATGTCAACAGGGAGGGCGTTCCACAGCCGGGGGGCCACCACTGAGAAGGCCCTCTCTCTCGTCCCCGCCAAGCGTGCCTGAGAGGCAGGCGGGATCGAGAGAAGGGCCTCCCCAGACGATCTCAAGGCCCTCGTGGGCTCATAGGCCGAGATGCGGTCTGAAAGGTATTTTGGGCCGGAACCGTTTAGGGCTTTGTAGGATAACACCAGCACCTTAAATTGGGCCCGGTAGCAGATCAGCAGCCAGTGAAGCTGGGATAGCAAGGGCGTTGTATGCTCCCTGCGTCCCGCTCCCATTAGCATCATGGCTGCCGCGCGCTGAACTAGCTGAAGCTTCCGGGCCGTCTTCAAGGGCTAGGTGTGAATGTTTCAGCTGACCACCTTCATTAGCATTTGAAGGCCTGGCTGAGCCTGGGAAAATGTTCTGTTGAGGGGTGTTAAGATGTGCCTGGTTGTTTCCTCTCTGCTGTTTTGCTGTTGTAATTTTAGAGTTTTTTTTAATACTGGTAGCCAGATTGTGTTCATTTTCATGGTCTCCTCCTTTCTGTTGCCCCACCCCAGCCATTCCACAGATATATAAACCCATTGTCCTAATTCCAACAGACCTCACTACCTCTGAGGATGCTTGCCATAGATGCAGGCGAAACGTCAGGAGAGAATGCCTCTAGAACATGGCCCTATAGCCCGAAAAAACCTACAAGAACCGAGTGATTCCAGCCATGAAAGCCTTCGACAATAAAAAGCTTGTTTTGAGATATTGTAGCTTACTGAGATGTGTGCTGTGTGGAGAATATCTGGATGCAACCCAACTGCCCTTTTGTTCCAACATCAATAATAATAATAATAACAACAACAACAACAATAAAACTTCATTTGTGCCCCGGTACCATCTCCCCCAGGGACTCAGTGCAGCTTACATGAGGCCGAGCCCACAATACAACAATAAACAATAACAACAGTATATTGTTATGAATGCATAACAATATAAAACAGTAATACAAAACAATAAATAAATTGTCGAAGGCTTTCATGGCCGGAATCACTCAGTTCTTGTGGGTTTTTTTGGGCTATATGGCCATGTTCTA